GGGGATTTTAATCTTATTAAAAATTGATATTTCACAGGATTTGTGTTGTTTCTTTTCTCCCCAGCCTCAAAAGAAAGATGAGGCACAGCAATCCAGGAAAAATTCCCCCAAATCTGAGCCAGTCATGGACCTGCTGGGGCTGGGTAAGAGAAAATGGGGTGGGAATTGTGGGAATGGGAATTGTGGGGTGGGAATTGTCCCAGAGGTGTCCCCAGTGTGTCCCAGGGTGTCCCAGGGGTATCCCAGGGTGTCCAGGGATGTCCCAGGGGTGTCCCCAGTGTGTCCAGGTGTATCCAGGGGTGTCCCAGGTGGGTGTCCCAGGTGTCCCCAGTGTGTCCAGGTGTATCCAGGGGTGTCCCAGGTGTGTCCCAGGGTGTCCCAGGTGTGTCCCAGGTGTGTCCCAGGGTGTCCCAGGGGTGTCCCAGGGTGTCCCAGGTGTGTCCCAGGTGTGTCCCAGGGGTGTCCCCAGGGGTGTCCCAGGTGTGTCCCAGGGTGTCCCCAGGGTGTCCCAGGGGTGTCCCCAGGGTGTCCCAGGGTGTCCAGGGGTGTCCCAGGGGTGTCCCAGGTGTCCCCAGGGGTGTCCCAGGTGTGTCCCCAGGGGTGTCCCAGGGTGTCCCAGGTGTGTCCCAGGTGTGTCCAGGTGTGTCCCAGGGTGTCCCAGGTGTCCCAGGTGTGTCCCAGGTGTGTCCCAGGGTGTCCAGGGGTGTCCCAGGTGTGTCCCCAGAGTGTCCCAGGGGTGTCCCGGTGTGTCCCAGAGTGTCCCAGGGGTGTCCCAGGGATGTCCCAGGGTGACCCAGGCGTCCCCAGTGTGTCCAGGTGTGTCCCAGGGTGTCCCAGGGGTGTCCCGGTGTGTCCCAGGGTGTCCCAGGGGTGTCCCAGGGTGTCCAGGGGTATCCCAGTGTGTCCAGGTGTGTCCCAGGTGTCCTCGGGGTGTCCCCGGGGTGTTCCAGGGGTGTCCCAGGTGTGTCCCAGGTGTGTCCCCGGGTGTCCCCGGGGCAGGCTGGGGACAGCAGGACGTGTCCGTGTGTCTGTCTGTCCCCGCAGACGCCCCCGTGCCCAACGGCCGCCCCTGCAGCCTGGAGAAGGACCTGGAGCTCTTTGCACCCATGGGACCCAACCCAGACTCCAGCAAGGTGAGCTGGGAACGCTGGGGCTGCTTGGGAAGGATCAGAAAACCACGGGAACATTTGGGATGGAGGGAATAATAAAGGGCAGGGACATCATCCACTATCCCAGCCTTGGACACTTCCAGGNGTCCCAGGGGTGTCCCCAGGGTGTCCCAGAGTGTCCAGGTGTGTCCCCAGGGTGTCCCCAGGGTGTCCCAGGGGTGTCCCCAGGGTGTCCCAGGTGTGTCCCAGGGGTGTCCCAGGTGTGTCCCAGGGTGTCCCAGGTGTGTCCAGGTGTGTCCCAGGTGTGTCCCAGGGTGTCCCCAGGGGTGTCCCAGGAGTGTCCCCAGGGTGTCCCAGGGTGTCCCAGGTGTGTCCCAGGTGTGTCCCCAGGGGTGTCCCAGGTGTCCCCGGGGTGTCCCAGGTGTCCCCGGGGTGTCCCCAATGTGTCCAGGTGTGTCCAGGGGTGTCCCAGGGGTGTCCCAGGTGTGTCCCAGGATGTCCCAGGGGTATCCCAGGGTGTCCAGGGATGTCCCAGGGTGTCCCCAGTGTGTCCAGGGGTGTCCCCAGGTGTGTCCCAGTGTGTCCAGGTGTGTCCCAGGTGTCCCAGGTGTGTCCCAGGGTGTCCCAGGGTGTCCCAGGTGTGTCCCAGTGTGTCCAGGTGTGTCCCCGGGTGTCCCCGGGGCAGGCTGGGGACAGCAGGACGTGTCCGTGTGTCTGTCTGTCCCCGCAGACGCCCCCGTGCCCAACGGCCGCCCCTGCAGCCTGGAGAAGGACCTGGAGCTCTTTGCACCCATGGGACCCAACCCAGACTCCAGCAAGGTGAGCTGGGAACGCTGGGGCTGCTTGGGAAGGATCAGAAAACCACGGGAACATTTGGGATGGAGGGAATAATAAAGGGCAGGGACATCATCCACTATCCCAGCCTTGGACACTTCCAGGAATTCCTGGGATTTTTGCATTGTGGGATTTTGGCACCCATGGGACCCAGCCCAGACTCCAGGAGGGTGAGCTGGGAATGCTGGGGCTGCTTGGGAAACCTTGTTTGGATCATAAAACAATGGGATAATTTGGGATGAGATGTTAAAGAGCAGAGATATCTTCCATTATCCCAGCCTTGGACACTTCCAGGATTTCCTGGGATTTTTGCACCCATGGGATCCAGCTCAGACTCCAGGAGGGTGAGCTGGGAATGCTGGTGGTGCTGGGTTGGATCATAAAACCACAGGAAATTTGGGATGGAGGGAATGTTAAAGGGCAGAGATATCTTCCATTATCCGTGTTCCATCCCAGCCTTGGACACTTCCAGGGATTCCTGGGATTTTTGCACTGTTGGATTTTTGCACCCATGGGATCCAGCCCAGACTCCAGGAAGGAGTGCTTGGAAAAGATCATAAAACCACAGGAAATTTGGGATGGAAGGAATGTTAAAGAGCAGGGACATCTCCCAGCTGGGAATTTCCCCTTTTTCCACCCCCTCCCCGTGCTGGATTTTTTTTTTCCCTGACCTCGTCCCTTTGTCCCCAGGTCGTTGGCTCCATGCCAGCCTCTGGAAGTGCTGGCTCTGTTCCCGAAAACCTGAACCTCTTCCCGGAGCCTGGAGGCAAAGGGGAGGAGGTGGGCAAGAAGCAGCTCTCCAAAGATTCCATCCTGTCCCTCTACGGCTCCCAAACTTCCCAGGTGCCAGCACAAGGTAACCCTGGCAGATGGGAGAAGTTTGCAGGAAAATTGGGAATGTGGGTGAGAGAATGCCAGGAATGGGGGTGGGTGGGAATGGGAATGGGGAGTGTGGAGCTCATCCCCCTTCCAGGCAGGAAATTCCCAATATCCCAGGGTGCTCCAAGACCTTCCCAGCCTGGCCTTGGCAATTTCCAGGGATCCAAGGGCAGCCTGGGAAATGCATTCCAGCCCCTCACCAGCCTGAGGGGAAGGAATTCATTCCCAAAATCCGACCCTGGCACTGGGAATCAGGGAATTCCTTCCCAAAATCTGACCCTGCAATGGGAATCAGGGAATTCCTTCCCAAAATCCGACCCTGGCACTGGGAATCAGGGAATTCCTTCCCAAAATCCGACCCTGGCACTGGGAATCAGGGAATTCCTCCCCAATATTCAACCCAACCCTGTCCTGAAAATCAGGGAATTCCTTCCCAATATCCAACCCTGCAATGGGAATTGGGAAATTCCTTTCCAATATCCAACCCAATC